AGAAGACGGAACAAAAAAGAAAAACACAATACGAAGATAAGATAAGGAAACAAGAAGTAGTAATAGGAAAACAAGGATAATGCAACGAAAATGAAAAGACATGGGAAAGAACCAATAAGGAACAAGCGAAACAATGATTTAAAATAGAAAAAGCGAGAAGGAAATAGACAGGCAACAAGAGAAGCGATAATAGGAGTAAACGGAAAAGAAGACAGGAAGAACAAGAGAGAACACATCAGGCATGAAGGATAAGACTTCGAAAAATAAAGATGACAGCAAGAGCAAGAAGGATAGAAGGAAATAAAAAGAGATGAGAAGAGACAAAGAAAGATAATGAGGAAAGAAATGTAACAAAAGAAGAAAGGAAGAGAAAGGAAAAAGAGGGAGAGAAAACAAAGGGAATAGTGAAGAATAAAGATAACAACAGGAGTAACGAGAAGGAAAGCAAGAGTAAGAAGAGAAAAGCAAGATAACAAGATAGGAAAACAAAGATTAACTGACGATAAAAAATAGGAAAGAAAGAAATAACAAGGAAAGAAGGAAAAAAGCAACCAAAGAACTAAAATCGAGGAAGAGTAGAAAGCAAGAAATAGATGAAGAAAAAAAACAGAATATAGGAAAAAAAGGGAAGAAACAAAGGATTAGGAGCTAAAGTGAAAGAAATAGAAAAGCGACAACAGAACACATGAAATAAGAAGAAAGAAGAAACAAGGGATAAGGAGAGTAAGATGAGACGATGTAAGGGAGAGGAAAGGAATAATAAAAAAATAGAAAAAGTCATAAGGAAGATAATGGAAGAGATAAGGATCAATAAAGATAGCAATTATGAAATAGAAGAAGGACAGAAAGAGGGAGATAGGCAAACAAAAGGGAAGAGAAGGAGACAGCTGAAACAGTACAAGCAACAAGAAGTAAAGAAGGGAAGAAGAGGAAACCAGAAGAGAACAGACAAGGTAAACACAACACTAAGAAAAGATACAAGAAGCAGGCGGCAAAACAGAAAAGGAAATGGAGGAAAGAATATAAAGAAGGAAAAGAGTAGAAGGACACAGCAGATGAAGGAATAGCGAGAAAAGAGATGAGAAGACAGTTGTTAGGAACTAAGAAGGAAGGCAGAATAGAGCAGAGGAGAGCACAAGAAGAATGAAAAATGAGAAAGAACAGTATAGGTAACAGAAAGAAATAACAAGACAGGATATAAGAACAATAGAGAGAAGGAAAAAATAAGAAAAATAAGGAAGTAATAATGATGCAGTTAATAATAGAGATGTGAGATAGCAAAAAAAACAAGAACAAAAATAACGAGACAAGGACGAAAAAGGGAGAAAAGGAGGGAGAAAGAGAGCAAGAAATGATAAGGAACGAGAACTAAACATATGGGAAGAGAGACTGTAAGGAAGAAGAAAGAAGCAATGAGAACCAAGACAACAAGAGTAGAAGACAGGAGTAGAGCAGACAGAAGAAATAAGGAGAAAGCAATAGAGAGAGATATAGATGAGAAAGAA